CCTCTGATGCTGCCTGGCCTGCTGTGTTCCTCCAGCTCCACACTGTATTGTCTCTGACTCCAGCATTGGCAGTTCTTAATGTCTCCTGTACAGCTGCAACATGTCCTCCCAACTTCTATATTTGATGCACTGACCAAAAAAGGCAAGCATACCCTGTCTACCTGTGACTCCACTTTCAAGGAACTATGAACCTGCATTCCAAGATCTCTTTGTTCAGCAACACTCCTCAGGACCTTACCATTAAGTGTAAAAGTCCTGTCCTGAGTTGCCTTTCCAAAATACAGCACCTTACATTTATCTAAATTAAACTCCATCTGCCACTCGTTGGGCCATTGGTCCATCTGATCAAGATCCCGTTGAACTCTGAGGTAACCTTCTTCGCTTTCCACTACACCTCCAATTTTGGTGTCATCTGTAAACTTACTAACCATACCTCCTCTATTTTCATCCAAGTAATTTATATAAATGACAAAAAGTAGTGGACCCAGCACCCATCCTTGTGGCAAACAGCTGGTCACAGGCCTCCAGCCTGAAAAGCAACCCTCCATCGTTTTTCAAGGACCGTAACTTCCCCCCACTCAGTGGTCGAGAACGCCCTCAACCGTGTCTCCCACATCTCCCGCAACTCATCCCTCACACCCCGTCCACGCAATAAGAACCAAAAAAGAATCCCCCTCGTCCTCACACACCACCCCACCAACCTCCGGATCCAACGCATCCTCCTCCGACACTTCCGCCATCTGCAATCCGACCCCACCACCAAAGACATCTTTCTCTCCCCACCCTTATCTGCTTTCCGGAGGGACCACTCTCTCCGTGACTCCCTTGTCTGCTCCACACTCCCCTCCAGCTCCACCACACCCGGCACTTTTCCCTGCAACCGCAGGAAGTGCTACACCTGCCCTCATACCTCCTCCCTCACCCCCATACTTCCTCCCTCACCCCCATCCCAGGCCCCAAGAAGACTTTCCACATCAAGCAGATGTTCACCTGCACATCTGCCAATGTGGTATACTGCATCCGCTGTACCCGGTGTGGCTTCCTCTACATTGGGGAAACCAAGCGGAGGCTCGGGGACCGCTTTGCAGAACACCTACGCTCGGTTCGCAATAGACAACTGCACTTCCCAGTCGCGAACCATTTCAACTCCCCCTCCCATTCCTCAGATGACATGTCCATCCTGGGCCTCCTGCAGTGCCACAACGATGCCACCCGAAGGTTGCAGGAACAGCAACTCATAGTCCGCTTGGGAACCCTGCAGCTCAATGGTATCAATGTGGATTTCACAAGCTTCAAAATCTCCCCTCCCCCTACCGCATCCCAAAACCAGTCCAGCTCGTCCCTGCCTCCCTAACCTGTTCTTCCTCCCACCTATCCCCTCCTCCCACCTCAAGCCGCACCTCCATCTCCTACCGACCAACCTCATCCCGCCCCCTTGACCTGTCCGTCCTCCCTGGACTGACCAATCCCCTCCCTAACTCCGCACCTACACTCACCTTTACTGGCCCCATCCCCGCCTCTTCGACCTGTTTGTTTCCTCTCCACCTATCCTCTCCTCTATCCATCTTCTATCCGCCTCCCACTCTCTCCCCATTTATTTCAGAACCCCCTTCCCCTCCCCCTTTTCTGATGAAGGGTCTAGGCCCGAAACGTCAGCCTCTCTGCTCCTATGATGCTGCTTGGCCTGCTGTGTTCATCCAGCCCTGCACCTTGTTGCCTCCATCACCACCCTGTGTCTTCTACCTTTTGAGCCAGTTCTATATCCAAATGGCTAGTTCTCCCTGTATTCCATGTGATCTAACCTTGCTAACCAGCCCACCATGAGGAACCTGTTGAACGCTTTACTGAAGTCAATATAGATCACATCCACTGATCTGCCCTCATTAATCCTCTTTGTTACTTCTTCAAAAAACTCCAAGTTGGTGAGACACAATTTCCCACACACAAAGCCATGTTGACTATCCCAAATCAGTCCTTGCATTTCCAAATATATGTAAATTCTGTCCCTCAGGTTTCCCCCCAAGCACTTGCCTGGCACCGATATCAGGCTTACTGGCCTATAGTTCCCTGGCTTTTCCTTACCACCTTTCTGAAATAGTGGCACAATGTTAGCCAACCCCGTGTTCTGGCACCTCACCTATGGCTATTGATGATACAAATATCTCAGTAAGGGGCCCAGCAATGTCTTCCTTCACTTGCTACAGAATCCTAGGGTACACCTGATCAGGTCCTGGGTGTTAATCCACCTTTTTGCGTTTTAAGACATCTAGCACCACCATCTCTGTAATGTGGACATTTTTCAAGATGTCGCTATTTATTTCCCCACATTCTGTATCTTCCATATCCTTCTCCACAGTAAACTCTGATGGAAAATAGTCATTTAGTATCTCGCCTGTCTCCTGCGGTTCCACACGTAGGCGGCCCTGCTGAACATTTAAGGGGCCCTGTTCTCTCCATGTCTTTGTAGAATCCCTTTGGATCCTCCTTAACCCTATTTTCCAAAGCTATTTCATGTCCCCTTTATGCTCTCTTGATTTCCATCTTAAGTATACTCCTACTGCCTTTATACTCTTCTAGGGATTCACTCGTTCCCTGCTGTCTATACCTGACATACGTTTCCTTGTTTTTCTTGACCAAAACCTCAACTTCTCTAGTCACCCAGCATTCCCTACACCTCCCAGCCTTGCTTTTCACCCTAACAGGAACATACTGTCTCTGGACTCCCGTTATCTCATTTTTGAAGACTTCCCATTTTCCAGCCGTCCCTTTACCTGTGAACATCTGCCCCCAATCAACTTTTGAAAGTTCTTGCCCAATAATGTCAACATTTACCTTCCTTCAGTTTAGACTTTTAACTTTTAGATCAGCTGTATCCTTTTCCATCACTATTTTAAAACTAATAGAATTATGGTCACTGGCCCTAAAAGTGTTCCCCCACTGACACCTCAGTCACCTGCCCTGCCTTATTTCCCAAGAATAGGTCAAGTTTTGCTGCTTCTCTAGTAGGTACATCCACATACTGAATCAGAAAATTTTCTTGTACACACTTAACACATTACTGTCCATCCAAGCCCTTAACACTATGGCAGTCCCAGTCTATGTTTGGACAATTAAAATCCTTGCCATAACCACCTTATTATTGTTACAGATAACTGAGACCTCCTGACAAATTTGTTTCTCAATTTCCTGCTGAGTATTGGGGGGATCTGTAGTACAATCCCAATAAGGTGATCATCCCTTTCTTATTTCTCAGTTCCACGCAAATAACTTCCCTGGGTGTATTCCCAGGAATATTCTCCCTAAGTACAAGCATAATGGTATCCCTAATCAAAAATGCCACTCTCCCTCTTCCTCTTTCTATCCTCCTCTTAGCATCTGTACCCTGCAACATTAAGCTGTCAGTCCTGTCCATCTCTGAGCCACATCTCTGTAATTGCTAAGATATCCCAGTCCCATGTTTCCAACCATGCCCTCAGTTCATCTGCCTTACCTGTTAGGCGTCTTAAAACAAATGCAGTTTAATTTATCAGTCCTGACTCGTTCTCTGCTTTGTTCCTGCCTGTCCTGACTGTTTGACTTGTTCCTTTTCCCAAATGTATTAGTCTCAGACTGCTCTCTTTCCTCACTATCACCTTGCCTCCCCCCACTTACCAGTTTAAATCCTCCCAAGCA